TTGCCATTAAAATTCTGGGCCAAATCCTAGGGTTTGATACTTTAAAACGAAGATGTTGGCCACCTGCCAGGGAAGTAGTAGAAGGAATTCATAAATCAGTTAAGGGTCAGCCTGCGTGACCTGTGAGGTTCCAGTCATATTTGACATTCTGGATTCTTCTCACATGTGTCTTCCTGCTCTCTCGGGCTCTTTCAGTCTCACCCCAGTCTTTGGGCCGTACACCCGCCCCTCTGAGAGTGAGCTGTGGGACATGTGGGCAGGGATTCGCAACAATGACGGGAACTTAGTTATCGACAGGTAAGAAATAACACTTTGCTTTGGTTTCCAGAGAAGCTCTTTTTTGTTGGGGGGGGGGGCGGTGTGGAATGGGGAAAGGTAGAAGATTGCTTGTTTTGTTCCTTGCTGGCTTGTTCCCTCTCTCTCTGACCTGTGAGGCAAACCAAGAAGTCATGCACTGGTCTTTCTAAGAAGAAAGAAATTGAGAATAGAGAGCCATCAGCGTAAGGCACGTGGCACACAGTTTAGATAAACAGCTGCAGATTCTGATGCTAATTCTGTTTCTACCTGGCCAGTGACTTTGGCAAATCCTACTTTGGGCTTTTTGTGAATATTAAGTGCCTCAAAATGTCTAATCATGGTTGTGAAAGGAGCCTAGTACATGTCTTTTTTTCATGTCTTTTCTGTAGCAACAGTGACTGAGAAGGAGAGCTTTCCATCTTATACAAAGAATGCTCACGACTTGATCCAAATGAGAATGCAGCAGCTTTCGTTTTAGGATGCCTTTGCATTCCTAGAACAATAAAGATTTCTCGTTCTACTCTGGCTGACTTCTCTGTCCTATAGTCTCTTACAGTACATCAACCAGAGGAAGAAGTTTAGAAGACGCTGGGTGGGAGCTCTTGCTTCTGTAACTATTCCCAGTGAGTAGTTCTACTTTATATCTTGATAGGACTGAGGGACTATGGGTCTCAAGTAATTGCCAGATTTAGCAAATAAAAATGCGAGACATCCAGCTAAATTTGAATTTCAGATATATAACAAATACTTTTTTAGAATAAGTATGTGCTTTGCAATATTTTGACATATTTATGCTTAAAAAAATCATTACTTATATGAAATTCAAATTTAACTGGGCATCTTTTATTTAATCCGGAAGAGCGGTGACACGCGTTGTAGAGTGCCGCATCTGAAACAGCGGGATGCTGCTGCAGGGGTAGCTGGTTCCACTGTCAGGACTGGGGGCGGGACTGGCTTTTGCGCTGTGCGGCGTGCGTGGCTGCCACGTTACATGCTGAATTGCTGGGACAGAAGGCGGTCTAGATGACTAATCGAGAGGCTGTAGGTGGTTTCTGCTCATTTGTCTCTTCAATCTTATAGATTTAAAAAGAAAAAAAATCAGTGCAGTGTTTCATACATAGTAGTGCTCCAGCAATTAGTGGTTGATTTAAATGTCAGTGGTCAGTTGTAACTGGAGAGAGACCTAAATAATGACGGTATTCTGGATGTATAGGAAGAGAACATGGAGCGCGAGACTTAGGCCTTTTGGTTCAGGCACAGAGGAGCTGGAGGAGGGACTGAGTGTCTCCATACAGGAGAACTGTCCCAAATGAACTGTTGGCTTATTCCCAGAAGTTCCTTATAACCTACTTATTGAAAGAAGCTAGGTTTTCTAGCATAAATCAGTGGGACTACATCAAACTAAAAAAGCTCTGTACAGGAAAAGAAACCATCAACAAATGGGAAAGATATTTGCAAACCATGTATCTGATAAGGAGTGAATATCCAAAATATATAAAGAAATCGTACACTCAGTAGCAAAAAAACCCAAGCCAACTAAAAACTGGGCAAAGGACATGAATAGATATTTCTGCAAAGAAAATACAGGAAAGGCCTACTAGGTACATGAAAAGAGTTCAACATCACTGGTCCTTAAGGAAATGCAAATTAAAACGACAATGAGATATTACCTTACACATGTTAGAATGGCCATCATCAAAAAGACAAGACATAAGTGTTGGTGTGGATGTGGAGGAAAGGGAAACCTTGTGCACTGGGGGTGAGAATTTAAATGGGTACGGCCACAGTGGAAAATAGTCTGGAGGAGTCTCAAAAAATTAAAAATACAACAGCCATATGACCCAGCGACTCCACCTCTGGGAATATATCCAAAGGAAATGAAAACACTAATTTGAAAATGTGTCTGCACCCCCTTGTTCGTAGCAGCATTGTTTACGACAGCCAAGACATGGAAACAGCCATCAATCAATGAATGGATAAAGAAGCTGTGAGATACACACACACACACACTGCAGTGGAATATTATTCAGCCATAAAATGGCAGTCTTACCATTTGTGACAATAGGGATGGAACTACAAGGCATTATGCTAAGTGAGATAAGTCAGAAAGAAAATACTGAATGATCTCACTTCTGTGGGGGCTCTGAAAAACCCCACCAAACTCAGAGGAAAAGAGATTAGATTTGTGGTTACCAGAGGTGGGGGGAGGGGAAATTGGAGGAAGGTAGTCAAAATATACAAACCTACACTTACAGGTCCTAGGGATGTGATGTACAGCATGAGCACTACAGCTCACAAAGTTGTTGGGAGAGTAGACCCTAAGAGCTGTCATCACGAGGAGAATTTTTTTTCTTTTTATTGTGTGGTAATCATTTCAAATATACATAAGCCAAACTGTCATACTGTATGTTTTAAACTTACATATAGTGATATATGGCAATTATTTCTCAATAAGACTGCGGAAAAAACCATTTTTTTTTGAGGGAGGAGAATAGATGTGAGAGCTTTAGTAATTCATTCCTTTTCTCTTTCCTAGTTCATTTTATCTATGGGCCATTGGATCCCGTAAATCCCTATCCAGAGTTTTTGGACCTGTACAGGTGAGTCTCCCTCAGGGGTCTTTGTTTTGTTCCTCATGGTGACAGTGGTGAACAGGTTAGCCACTGTCTCTGCCCTCGCTGGCTGTTCATCCAGGAAACATATTAGAAAAGGATGAACTGGGGAGTCTTCTTTTCAGAAATGTAAAGATGAAAAAACTCAGTTATACGTTGTCTTGATTTATTAGGCCTGTTTTCACTGTCATGGTTACTACATATTCCTAGGTGTACAGGTAAGAAAAAGCTATCATGTGAACCACGGAGTGAAATACATTTATTTTAAGAAATGTTTGCTTTAGTTTGATCATAAAGCTAACTCCTCCACCTCAGCTGAGCAGACGAGTGCACTATGGAAAAGTGCCTTCTCATCGGTTATTTTCTCTAGGTACTTACTCAGAAGGTGTTGGAATATGAAATCTTGACTATGTCACATAAGACTGTCCCATACCTTCACTTGGCCTAGCAGAAACAACCCAGTAGTAAATAGTGTGCATTTAACTAAACAAAATGCCTTCCCCTCATCCACTCCCAGGGTTAAGGACGGTCTGTTGTTATGTTTACTTGGACAGGGAGTTGCTGAGTGGCCCACTTGTTTGATGCCTCATGCTTCTCTAAGGAGCTGGAAGTCATCCTGCTTGGGCAGGTGCTGCAAAGTGTTATATGCTCAGGTTGTTGTCTGTTGGATTATGAACATTTAAGAACTAGTCTGTTTATGTCGTAAATGGAACTGGCAAGTTTATCTGCCTAAGATACAATTCCAAAGTAGAAGGTGAATAAGCTCTTTGTTGGTTCCTTCCAGTGTGGTATGTCCACAAGAGCCTTAACCGGGGCTGCCCACTGGCTTGCATCCGTCCTCTCCCTCCAGCCTTAAGTTCACCTACATGCTGTTCTCTTCCACTAGGAAAACGCTGCCGCGGTCCACAGTGTCGATTCTGGATGACCACATTAGCCACTATCCACAGCTAGAGGATCCCATGGGCTTCTTGAATGCATATATGGGCTTCATCAACTCCTTCTGAGCTGGAAAGAGTAGCTCCCCTGTATTACCTCCCCTACTCCCGTATTTGTTGTGTATTCCACTTAGGAAGAAATGCCCAAAAGAGGTCCTGGCCACCAAACACTATTCTCTCACAAAAGTCCACCTGATGCACATCGGTGATCAGCATATAGTAAAAAGCCCGCAGAAGCTCCCGTTAAGGATGGCCCTAACAGTCCACCTCCCATTCTTCTCACATCTGAGCAAGTGTATGGACTTGCCTTTGCGCTATTAGGAATTTCTTAAAAGTCTTAACACTTCTATGGACTTTTCTGAAATACCTAGAAATGCTCATTTCTGGCCTATCCTTGACCGGAGTCCTAAAGTAAAGCATGAGGAGAGGGTGTCTCCTGACCTGTCCTTGAATGGCTTTAAGGGCACATGCGTTTTTAAGTTCTCTAAGCAACACAGCTTCAAGTGAGAGTGAGTCTCCCTTGTAATAACTTGGGATTTCATTTCATCAGCTGCTTTTAATTATAAACATTTTGTTAACATAGGTTTTGGTTTGAATAATGCAGTATTCTAAGTATACTTTAAGACTATGATTTACCTACATGTATTATATGTATTTTCTAAGGATACTAAACCAGCAGATACTCTGGCAGAGTAGTGAACCTTATTAAACAGGTTTAATTTCTGAATACACACTGAATTAAATTCAGACTATTTACAGAAGTTCCTAAAATCATAGGATACTAAAGACCAGTAGCATCCGTGCCAGAGATTTACTGTTATTAGCTAACTCTGACAGCGAGTAACAGTCTGACTCTTCATACCTCAGTGCTTCGAGGCATGTCCCTCCCGAGCTGGAGGGGAGGGGATCGTTGTATAGTCCAGGTCACCGTACCGAATGTACAGAGATTCCTTTTCTGACGACTGATTAACTTAACTTCTCATTGGTTGTCTCAGAGAGACATCCTCTTGTAGCTCATAATTCCTGTACTTTACAGACAGGAAAGTTCCAGAAACTTTATGAACAAATTCTGAAAGACCTATGAGCAAATGGTGCTGAAATTTTTTTTAAGCCACAGCTTCACTGTCTTAGTCGAAACAGGAGGATTAAGTGATTATTTTAAATTTTTTTTTTTATTAGCAACTTCAAGTATAACAACTGAAACTGGAATAAGTGTTTATTTTCTATTAATAAAAATGAATTTTGACAAAAGTGGACTCTGGCTTCCCCTCCCCCACCACCCCTCTGGGATAAAAGCTTTCCAACATTGTCAGGAGCTTTCAGACACACATTAAATTAAAGACTATAATGAGGTTAAGCAGCTGGGGTAGAGGATAGTATTTGATTTGCAAGATCACCCAAAGCTGTACTATCATACCAAGGTTGGCTGAGTGTAATAAAAAAAAAAAAAAAAAAAGGAAAAAGAAATTTACATGCACAAGGACAGATAGATACTTGCTTGATCTGCTGGCTCAGGGCCAAATATTTAATTTGCTTCTCCAAAGACATTAATCTTTAAAAGTAGGATTCTGGGAAATTCATGCCACCAGCCTAAAAGCCCACTGACAGTGAAGTGTGCATCGACTTCATCTTGCCCAGTAAAAATTTATCCAACAGAAGCTAAGATAACATCTACAGGTGTTCCCTCTTTGCTTCTGACAGTCACCTGCATGGTCACTCCATCTGCTAAGGCCAGCCTGGACCTCACCAATAAGTCATAGCCACCTCTGTATACACCTGAGAGAAAAAAAGCAAGGAAAACTAGATTAAGAACTCAAAACAAGCTCTGAATAATGAAATATGTCATGCTCTGCCTGCATTTCCTTTCTATTATTTTAGCTTTTCTAGAGATCTGTGTTTATGGTGAGAATTGAATCCTGTGTACAAACTTAAGTAATCTTTTGTATACCCATGATACCAGGCACATAGAAGGTATTCAGTAGTACTGATCTGGAGTACTCAGAGGCAGGTGGCATTGGTATCTGCGGGAGAGATTTAAGGGTTTTAAAAACAAAAACAGCCTAAGGATAGCCTGCAAATAATTAAACAGCTAAAACAAATTATTCACATTGACAGGGCTGCAAATTGTGACTCCTATGACGGGATAACGGATAGTAGCAGGGCCTGTGCACACCCCTTCCTATCTTGCGACCAAACAAAGGGGGAATCTGATGGTGGTTTCTTACCTGCCAGATAGAGGGAATGGGAATTCTTGTTCTCCGGTACTTTGTCCGACCTCTCACATGGCTGCATGCCCAGAAAGGTGGTGATGTTGTTGACAGCTTCTGTGTTGAGAAGACAGATGCAACTGTATCAGGAAAGCTCAGCCTAGGGGTCTGCCTCCGTCCCAGCAGGTGCTGAGGAGGGAAGCCACCAGACTAGAACCTGGTTGACTCAATTAGATGATGAAGACAGGATCCTGGCCTTTTCAGCAAAATAGTTTATGAAATGTTTAAAGAAAAGAGATACTCTGGAATAATAAATATGCCCATTAGGTTTTATCCTGCAATACACCGATAGCAAAATTGTTCTCACCTTCGAGAGTTTTGGTAGAACTGAGGGCAAAGGTCTCCTCTTTCTCAAAGGTGTCTCCCACCTCTTCCCAGGCAGCAGCAAAATTAGGCTTCAGTACTTTCTGAATGTGGTCAGACACAGTCACTTCAAGATCTTCCAGCTAGTAGGTAACAAGCAGGGGTCAGTAAAGTCCTTCAGTACACCACAAGGACAGAAGGGACTGATTAGAATGGTTTTATCATTTGGTGTTCTGTCCTTTGCAGGAGCATAGGAAAAAGTTTACCACCAAAGTAGTTTAAGTTCTGTGGTCTAGATAGATCTAACGATGTAGGCCTTAGCAAAGGAAAGCAAGAAAACAGGACATCTGGCAAGGGCTATATTCAGATCACCACCTATAACCCTGGGGTATAAAGTAGTCATGCTGCCATACCTAACCTTCGTGTTCGGGCCAGACAGGGCCTCTGAACATCACATTCACTCACAGCCTGATACTGGTTCAACTTTTCCCTGCATTTTGTGAAGGCTTTTTCAGTCCATCATGGGACTACATTAGAAGCAAACTAAACGCGGCTAAATAAAAACAGAAAAAAACCCAATACTTCAAATAAAACTCATTGATCTCCATGAAAATCATGTAATTGTTTCATCTCTTAATCATCCCTATTATAAAGACATCAAAAAGTGAGTTTTGTTTTAATCGGTCATTAAGTGGTAAATCCCAGTTCTCTTGGGCATGACACACTCCTCTCACAGAGGAGGATCTGTCCAGGTCCTCCTCAGTTGTGATCTGTTTGGGAAGAATAAGCCCCTAAGTTCATGTCCGATGTCGCTAGCAGCGTGGTCTCTGCAGGCAGAAGTCACTCGATGGTGCAAGGGCGTCAGAGTGCATGTCCGTGTGGGGGAGACTCACCACGTACTCATCATCATACCCCTCCTCAGCTGGAACCCCAGTGTCAGGGTCGCAGTCCCGGACCGTAAACTTCATGGTGCAGCTGAAGGTGCCTGCAACTGGGGCAGAAAGGGCAGGCGAGCCTGGGTCAGGGCCGGGGCAGGCACGGAGCCCCCGCCCGAGGCGCAGAGAGCCCCGTCTGCACACGGCGCTGCGTTCTGTACCGTCAAGCAGAACACACGCAGCCTCTGCTTCCTAGGGTGGTAGCTCCAGAGCCTGGGGCTGGCCGACAAGGCAGTCTCACAAAATCACTTTAAAAACCATCCCCCACCGTGGGTTAGAATAGCACAGAAAAGACGACATGGGCAACACCGTTTTCGTATTTGTATGAAGCAAGCAGCAGGGGAGAGAACTTTGGGGGCTTTTTGCCATGCCTGTCAAGAGTCTACATGTTGAAAAATGTAAGAACCATTACTTTTAGGAGCTGACAGAGCAGAGCAAAAAAAAACAAAAACAAAAACCCAAAAAGCACACAGGTCATTAAATTAACACTAAGTACATCAAGAGTCTCAATATCAATATTTTATCTTTAGACTGGACTGACAGTGGGTCCACAGGCCACCAGAATGAATGTGCTTTATGTCAACTTTCAACCTACAGTGAGGAGGTCAGTAGTGAGGTTCTGGCATTGGTATAGTCACTGTCTTAAAATGGAAAAGCAAGTGAGCCTCATTGTTTGGGGATGACCGGTAGAATAAGGAAGAAATGGCGATCGGGGATACATTTTTGGAAAGGGAAGTCTTCATGAAGAAGATGAGATTTTCTGAACTGTTGGAAGGAAGGGATTTATTAAGTGTGGGTGAAGAAAAGGCATTTAGGATCAGGTACAAAACATACTAGAAGTTGGGGAGTAAGAGTCATCTGGGCGATAGGAAGGACAGGGAAGAACAGACTCCGACGTAAAGACCGTATATGACAAGCTGGGTAATGGGACTTTCATCGGCTCAGTCTCAACTTTAAGCTGCCTCCCTCCCTCCTTCTGGCCAAGTATGTGGTCAGTGGCAGTACGTGTTGACAGTGGACATGCAGACATTAAATCTAATGTGTCAGATCCTTAGGTAAAAAGATGACTGGGACATGACTGCTGTCTCCAAGAGCGATTGTCTAGGAGTTAAATAGGAGTGTGTGTGTGTGTGTGTGTGTGTGTGTGTGTGTGTGTGTGTGTGTGTG